ATTGCTAGTAGCTGGTTGGAGGCCACTGCTAGTTGGTTGGAGGCCATCGCTAGTAGGTTGGAGGCTCCTTGGTGACATTTTTTTGCTCACAAAGACATGCATTGGTCGACCGATTTTGGTCCTTGGAACCGCTCGGATTGGGGACTGCGCCAGGATGGCGGGTTAAGTGTGGCCTGCAAAGAGGTGCCAATGCCTCCTGTCCGCCACTGGAAGGCTCTTTTTTGGGGATCACGCGGCTCACTCTTGACACTTGGAATCCAGCACTGAAAATCAAAGAAACATGCCTGTTTTTGAAGACTCCTGGAAAATATATGTTGCAAAGAAGCACTATATATACATACAATATATATATATATATATATGCACTTAGACTGTACACTTTGCAACAACCTGCAAAGAACATGTCAAGTTCGAGTGCGGCACCCCACATGATTATATAGATGTGATTGCCAAGTTTGAACATCACTTGGTAGCATGGGTACCCTTCATGAACACCTACTGTTGGGTCTGTGGGAGTCTGTGCGTTTGACCAAGGCAACCCATTCCAGATCATGTCAGCGCTTTGGAGATGCACTTTGTGACCTCGGAGATGACCCCGCCTCTACCAGGCGAATTCAGTCACTGAATTCAGTCAGCAGTAAACTTCAATAGCTGATGCATGACTCCAACGCTGCTGTATCCACACACACATATTCTTTAATAAGAATATGAAAGATGTCTGAAGAGGCAAGCGAAACATGAACCAAGACATTCTACATTCTTCAGCAGGCCTCTACAAACTTGAGCTCCTCGACCTCAACAACTCAATCACGGAGGCTGCCTGGCGGCCGTTGCTGCCGAAAGTGACGCCGGGAGTCTTGGAGGATGACCGGATGACCAACATCGTCAATCTGCTTGGCTGCTATGAGCCCCTAGTAGCATTCTTGCTACTAGTAGCGATGCCAGGAGCCCCTAGTAGCGTCCTTGCTCCTAGTAGTAAGGCCAGGAGCCCCTAGTAGCATTCTTGTTATGTCAATATGCTTGGCTGCTATATAATTGTGGATGTGACTGGCACAGACTGATCTGCAGTACCTGAAGAAGCTTTCCAGCTTTCAAGGTTTCAAAGTTCTATGAACCAATCCTTCAGCAAAAAGTACGAAACAGGGTTTGGTCCATCACTTCTAAGGTCAACCTTTTCGTCCACATTGATTGCCGGCTCCTTTTCGTCCGACTTGTGCAGAATGAAACGTTCCGCGGACGACACGCGAAACCGTCGATGGCACACGAAACGTCGGAGACGGAGACGGAGGACGTCGGCACCCAAGGCCTTGGGACTGCGAGAGCCCCAGAGCTGGTCGCGCGTGGCGGCGGTGGACCTCGAGGCGCCGCCGCCCACGGCCGTGCGCACCACGCGGGGTGGCGGGTGGCACCGGTGTCTTCTCGCCTTCGACTCGTGCAAGGCAGTTTTTTTGGCATCGGTGGTGCTCGCACCGCAACGAACGCCGCTCGACTCGTCCGACTCCGGTCAAAAGGTCGTGGCCAAAGGGGAGGTTCTCTTTTTCTTGCAAGTGACCCAAAAAGAACTCCGAGATGGCAAGTGTTCAATGAAGCTTTGCTGTTTGCCGAAAGCTTGAGGATTTCTAAGAGCAACCAATCAGATTTTGAAGAAGAACCCTCCTCCGTATTCTGCTTTAGGGCTCACCAGCGTGACCTGCATCCTCTTGAAAGAGTGGCAAGTCTAAAACTGAGGCTGTACAAAACAATCGGCATTTTGGTGGGAACTGCAAATTTATAGACTTGTGTTCGCATGTGATGTTCTCCCACGAAGTGCAATCCCACTCACTCTTGCACGCCCAAATCTTATACTACAGTTATGTTTAGACCTTCTCTAGTTCTCTGATGAATACTTCAAATTGGCATAGTGGGAATAGAGGAGCTGCGCGACAAGATCTCAGCTGCGAGGCAGGGCTGTGCTTGGCTGTTTGTAGACGCACTCAGACGTAAAGCCTCTTGCCAATTTTGCTTTGCTTGTCGCTCCAGCATCCCATTTCTGGATGGATTGAGAATACAGATCTCAGGCTTTGCCTCCAGCCCCCAGTGCGGTCAATGGAGACCAGCTTGCTGACGCCTGAGATGGATGAGTAGTCAGCAGTCAGCGTCTGCCACTGTGCCAAGAGATTTCTTCTTCAAACCTTCCGCTTAAACATCAAGCTCCTCGTATCATGCAATCTTAGCTGGTTTCTATAGCTTTTGTCGTGAAGCTATGGTGTGCCTTCCTCGAAGGGGTTTTCTTTCAGGAATAAGTTTTGTAAGAGTGTTCCTCAACAGAACAGTTGAACCGCTAAATACATTATTCATATTATTATCAATTATCAACCAAGTTTTTCAATCCCTGGCAAGTTTTGTTTGAGTTCAACCGAAGGGATGTGGTTGCGAGTTTCCAGGGATTTGAACAACTTGTGAACGCTCAGAGTCTGGAGGTTTCTGCATGATCCTGTTGTTTTTTTGTGTAGCCTTTGATTCCTCGAAAGAGGCATGTCTTCTACAAGCTCAGAGGCTTCTACCGCTTTGTGCAACGTTGGCCGCCAGACTTGAGTGGACGGAGTCGGATGCGGTGGAGCGGCGACCATCGGTCAAGCGCTGACCGAGAGGATCCGAAATCGGAACGGATGCGGCATAGATGGTCATCGAAAAGAATGGTTCAACAGTTCCAGTCACATAGGGTATGGTGACCTCGCGTAATCGACAAGAATGAATGGTTCAAGAATTCCAGTCACATAGGGTTACACCATAGTACAGCAAGTCCTGACGTGCGGTGAGACCTTCGATCGACGCGGTGGCTTTGGGACTTGCGAGTGGAATGGGTGCATTGGGGTTCGTGTTGCATTCTGAATGCTTGGAGCCAAAGTGATTCCGATGTGATTCTGGGTGTGTGTATTCACGCCGCTCCGCGGCAAGGTCCACCCGCACCGCCATGAAACAGTTGCCCAACAAAAACGGCGAATAGCGAGGTTTTTGAGGTTGACATTGCCGAAAACGCCACTATGTACCGTATTGTACAGTGCTTTTATGCTCTGTGAGGCAGAAACCACTGCAAATAGCGAAGTTTTTGAGCTTGCCGTGGCCGAAAACACCACTATTTACAGTGTTTTTGAACCTGCTGTCAAAACACACCGCAATTTGCGACGTTTTCAACAACATGGTCGCCAAAAACACTGCTATTTGCAAGGTTTTTTACATTTTCGCGCAAAGACGTCAAGCCTCGGCAATATACAAAACACTGTTTCTGCCCAACAAAAACGGCGAACACCGTCACCCAAACAGCTCCGAAATCACAAATCTGCCCCCCGGCCTCCCGACAAGACACGTGGAAAAAATATGCGTCTCAAAACCGAAAATCAAAGACCAACAGTCAAAAAAACATTTTATTCATTTTTCTCTTGCCGGTTCCGGGCGGGCGCATGCACTAACTAGTCCATTCCGTGCTGTAAAAACAGTGTTTTTTGAAGTCTGCCGTCGCGACCTATAAAGAACCCAGAGTTTTGGCCAAAAAATAGCACCCACCCCAGGTAAACCTGTACCTTAGAGTTGTTTATGCCATCCGGATGATCAGGGTGTACACCCTGAGCACCTTCGGTGCGGGCGGATTTGCGGCTCCTAGGCCTCTTCTTTGGAGTGCTGTGCTGGTCTTGTGCACCGGCACTGTCACATGGTCCTTACTTTGCATCCTGCTGGTATCTCGGCGACTGATGGTCTCGGCTCATCCTCGAGCCCGATAGTTTTGCTGCAACTTGACGCCACAACCGTGCCGTTTCCTATCCTATTTGGAAGTTTCAGGCATTTTTGGACCATCTTTGGACCATTTTTGGACCACGTACTAACGATCCAAACAGACAATTTTTCATGTGGCTCTCAGGTCATCCTGGTCCTGCGAAGGAGACAGGGAAGACAGGTGTCTGAGCCAGAGTTGGAGGCCGTCCTTGACGTTGCGGTGTTGGTTGATTCATGTTGATTCTGAATTTGATGTCTGATTCCTCAAATCTTCAAGAGATGCACTTCTAGCAATTACCTTGAACCCTTTTTTTGTCTTGCTTGGCTGGAAGACTCAGGGAAGAAGTGCAGGGTAGTTCATTCTGACTGGCTGCCCTCTCCGATTTGGTCGAACCGTTGCTTAGATTCCTGTCGTCTTCTTCGCATGTCGTCTTGTCTTCTTTGCAGCTTCCAGGTCGAAGATCGAATCACAGATGCCAAAACGGTGGTCTCTGACGTCTTCAAGCAGTCCTTGTGCAAAGTTGAGGAGAAGTGGAGAATCATTGGTCGTTTCATGGGCCATGTTTTTGTCCCTGTCATTGATCACTGGGCGGATGGACAGGAGGCCAGTACGCAGCTGGTGGAGGCAGTGAAAGATCCGGACCTGCAAGTGACTGCTGCGTCTGCCGGTCACGCCAAGTGAGTGCAGCGGCACGCGCGAGTTTCGCACAAGTGTATGAGGGGCCTCCTATAACATGTTTGAAAGATATAGGGACCTACTTTCTTCTGTCCTTTTTTGTGAAGAAGGACATAGAGGACACCTTTGTTTTCTACGTCAATCACGTACCTGGGCAGCACGGACTGGCTGAGGCCCTCTCTGGTGCTGTTGCCCTTGGAGCTGGGGGAGGCAGGATTTTGTGAGCAGGATCACGCACCAATGCAAAACAATCTTGGCTGGGTAAGCCTTTTAGATGTGTGGCAGGCTGCGCTGGTCTCATTACTGGGAGTGTAGCTGGTGGAGCTTGTGGCATAGTGCCCACAGCTTCTTGTAAGGGCAGCACCTTCCTTCCCTTCAAAGACACGCCCAAGAAATTGTTGAACAAGCCCGTGCCTTCAGTTTCATTTTCTTAAATTTTTTGTTTGCCATACTTGGCTTGATGTTTTCGAAGGTACCTGCAATTTTCACCTTTGGGCTTTCTATCCCTGTTGGTGTTGCCTGGAGCCCTGGGAGAAATGTAACCGAGAGCACAAAGTGGAGACGCATCTAGGCATCAAGGTAGCTGGTCTATTGTGATTTCCTGCTTCTGCAATGGTTGCTGACAATGCCAAAAGCTGAGGCCAGCATCTGCAGCACCACCATCCCTCATAAAACCGTGTGTCGCACGGTGGGTTGCATAGCAGGGTGGGTTGATCAAAATCCCATCACCAGAATTTCGCCTGCGTTATGTTATGGCATCGCTGGATTGTAGAGCTTCGTCCGTCGACAGGGTGAGGTGCATCATCAAGGAAGAGGAAGAGGGAATAGGATCAGGAAATTGAGGACTCTGACTTTCTGATGACACCGTGGTCGAGGCAAGAGCTGAGATGATGGGTGATGGCCATAGTGCCATAGAGGATGAAAAAAGGAGATTGGATGCAAACACGCATCAAATCAGATATGAAAACCAAATCAAGAACGAGGAAGCCCGCAGTTCGGAAGAGATGTACGAGTCGAGGTGTGCGCTCAGTTCTTTAGCTCTGGAACGGAAAAAGCTACGAGAAGCAAACTTGGCGTTGATGGAAGCAAAAGAAGAACTCATGTACAATCCTGTTCCTGAGACTGAGACCTGATTTACATGTTCTTTTGCAATTACATGAGCTTGAAGCTGAAGCCATGCATGCTGTTGAAGTCTCATGGAGTTCTCAAGTAAATGCAGGCTTTCTGAAAAGCACTCAAGAACATGTCAACTATATAAATCAAGGACATATCACTGTTTTTGTAACTTATATATATATATATGATCTCTGTTGAAATTCTTCATGCACTTCATTCCTTAGGCACTTTTAAACTGCGCATAAGGAATTCATACATGTATTAAAGAAAGCTTGTGCATTCCTTATGTACTTGTTACAAGTGCATAAGGAATGCACATTCACACAGTAAGCAAATGAAAAGGAATTAAAGAGGAAATCGGAAGAAATTCATAACGCAATAAAGAAATGTACTGAAAGTTCACTAAAGCGTTTTTCTTTTTTGAGATCCATCAAATGCTCCATCAAGTGCAACTTCAATGTTGCAGGTAAAGAAATAAATGGCCTAAATAAATCCTCACATCATTGTTACATCAATGCCAACGTAAATTCGATGAAATGCTAAAGTCATTGTGCAACTTCAAGGACTCAGGTAAACCAAACCGTCACTCAAGTAAACCCACGAATGTCCAAATAAATCCATCTATGCTCAAGTATATAAAAGCAGGAAAGACACGTTCAATGGCCAACAAAACAAGCAATCTGGAATGCTCCAGTGAATATACTCTCACATCAATGACTCACACCAACCAGCGTTGTCATTGTGATTGATCAGCGGATCAACAACAAAGCGCGCCCTTCTGCTGCACTCTGCATCCAATCATTTAGCAATGCTTCCAAGACAGCCATCCCAAGCAACACCAAATGAACGCAAGTAAAATAAGGCTGAACTGCCTGAAGCCAAAACTTCAGGAAAACGCTCTTTGTTCTTCCGCTGCAAGTCAAGTGCAAATGGCCAGGTAGACGCACGTAAATCCTCAAGTAATGCTCCACAAATGCTCAACAATGCTCTTGGCGATGCTCCACAAGTGCTCAAGTATATTTGCCAGAGGCATTGGGCAAGGAACAGTGTATTCAAGTTTAGTGTCCCTGGCCTCCACAAAGCCTAGCCAGGCGTCCAATAGTGAGAGATGAAACTTATCATGTTTTTCCATCATTTTCCAAGGCTTCTAATATTTAGGTTGCAACCTAAAATAGATTAGGTCACTCCATCAGAATTACGTAAATTATGTCTTAGTAAATCAAAACAAACGGTAAATTCTTCGATTGATTCCAGAGACTCAGGGTCTATGAGGCAAAGGATGAAACTTCGTGCCCATTTTGACGTCTGGCAGAGCGCCATATTTTGACGTGTACATTTCCGTTTTTAGAGGACATCGTCGGCAAGGCTGGGCCACGGAGTTTCGACGGACTAAACGAGCATTTCCGGTTGACGGACGAGGAGAACGTTCTGAATGGTAGGCATGAACATCTAAACACCCACACCTGACTGTCAAGGTCCTTGGGGGAGGTGCTGGTGCTGCTGCCGGCACTGCCGGGCGGCCCTGGCTTTGGGGGACCGCTAGAGCTTTCCATTGCCGGTTGAAGCCAAATACAATTATTCGCTTGCAAGTGCTGCGGTGCAGGAGGCCTTGATTGTTGGACAAATCAAGTGGTTCCCGTCCAGCTTCACCGCTCTGGTGAGGCTTTGGGTGGCACTGCCGGTGCCATGCTTGGTACTTTACTTGGTAGAAGGCAGGGACTACGGAAGAATTTCTCTCGAACATTCTCGAAGATTTTGATTTTGGGAACACAACTGTGGTTTGTGTGATATCCATGTTTTGTGTTGTAGTTGATACCTCTCTCCCTGATACCGCTTACTTAAAAGATGTGCCACAAGTTGAGAAGTGATGGTCTCCCCGAACACAACTCGCCCAGATACGTACATCATCGCTCTGCGCCTTGGCCAAAAGCGCAAGCGCAAGATGAGGTCATCCGTCCATTTTAGGTCTTGCAAGCAGCTTATCATCGCGTGTCATATCGAACGATTGAACAAGCAGCTTTTAGCTAAAGAACCAACCTATAGTTTTGCATGGTTGAACCACTCGGGCACTAGGGTCAGTCAAATGTGAGTAGCATTTGGGATTCCTGGTGCGGCCCTTGCTTTGTGGCCTTGCCTCAAATTGTAGCAATTGAGGCGAACCCTGATAGTCCACAGTCTCGCAAAGATCTTTGATGCCTGATCCGCATGTGTACCCAGAATGCACTCAGCATGTACATTGTACATAGGAAGGCTTCTCTAGATGGAGGAATTATTCAAGTGACTGGAGTAGCCCATGGGACAAAAATTGACATGAATCCTCCTTTGGGCTAAGTCTCCACCTTGGTTTGCTGAACATCAGCTCATCCCATTGGACGAAAAAGGTGCGTTTTTGCGTGGCATGCAGAGGGTATGATGACGGCCACTTCCGTACAGAATCATCTGCCGTATTGTGCAGTGATTCGGCCTGATGTCCTATCCATGGCTGGGAATCAATGGACGTAGGTGTGTATGCGACGATCCCATCCCTGGGATCTGCATGGATCTGGCGTGTTGAAGACTGATGCACGAGATGAGTGGAGAAACAGTATGATTCGGTGTGGAGACACAATGTAACATGAAAACAGGATTGCACAGCATTATTAGGGTGATTGGGCAGGCAGCCACCAACTGCCAGCGCCTCATCAGGGGTTTCCTCGCCCGAAGGCCATGGGAAATGGGTTGTTGGACAGAATTGGGCTGGTCATTGGGCAGGGGGGCTCAGTGTAGGATTTTTGTATCATTTTGGTCGAACTCTGTTTCACTTGACTCACGCAGGAGCTACAAGCGCTACTTCACCTGGAAGGTCAGCAAGATCATTTGCATCGAAAGGCCTACCGCGCCGCCGGGCGCCGCACCGGGCCGGGTCTCCGGGCGGCCATCGGCCGCTCTGCGAGGTTCGTGCGCAGCTGGCTGGCCAAGGTGGACGTGGAGCGCCGGCGCCAGGAGCTGGAGAAGCAGCGGTGTTTAGATCAGGCACCGTCGTCGTTGAGCGGACTTTGAGCTCACAGACTCACAGAGCTCAGACCTATCAGACCTATTAGACCTATCAGGTAGCGAGCGTAGACCCATCAGACGTCCTCACTTGTCGAAGACATGACTTGAAGACGACTGGGAATGTGAAGACATGACTCGAAGACGTGTGTTGAGCTCTGCTTCATGAGGTATCCAACTCGTGAGTTTGTTCGTGTTGTTTTTTGGCTTCTCGCCTTTGCCATTCAGTTTGGCGGGACTTCACAAGCCGACCTGACCCAGCGAAACCATGAGTTTGGGAAGTGAAATTGTCTAATTGTCTAAGGTCACTCAAAACTGAAGAACCTTTCTTAGGAGTTTGAAGGTACATACTAGCGATGGCCTCTAACCTATTAGTACATACATATCAGGTTTGGGAGTTTTGACGTTTCAATGTGAGGTCAAATTGCAAGCTATACAATTGTGTTGAAGCTGTTCAGGGTGAGGATAACACTAAACAGATATTCTGAAATTCAAGGCCAGCAAAATTCCTGCAACACAGAAGACTGCATAGAAGCGCGATCTCTCTCTTTCTTCCCTGGATGGTTGGTGTGCTGTTCGCGGATGGAGGACCGCAGTTGCAACTGATCAGAGCTGTATGCTAGATAGTTAACGCCACTTCTGAGTCCAGCAGAGGATGAACCGGACAGAGAGCTCTTGCACATCGTTGCCAAGAATACGACAGATGGGTCGACGGCAGAGGCCATGATTTGGGTCGAAAGCTCTCGGCTGTGGGCTGTCCTGCGTGCTTTTGTACTTTTCACATGCTTGGCTTTTGGCTTTTGGCTTGGTCTTTGGTTTGACAAAACCAATGCATTGCTCCAAGCTGGCTTTGCTGGAAAAAAGTGCTGCATGTTCTCAGGTTTTCGTATACTCCTACGACTCCATGCTGTCTTTACGCCGTCAGTGCGCCTGGACATCCCTAAAAGAGCTGATTTGAAGTGCAAGAAGCATCAGCACGGGCTTAGGATACTGTTGAAGAAATCCTCCACCACCTCAGATGAGGAAAAACATTCCATTTGCAGTTGGGGGTGGCTCCAGGTGATGCAGGACTTCCACCGTGAATGGTACAACCATTAGCTAAGACTTTCTTTGAGGTTCCATCAGCAAGGCCTTGCAGCTGCCACATCTGACCTTACTGTCTGGTGCTTAGGCATAATGAGACGAATGAGCTGTGTCCTCTTGTTGCCTCGGGAAGCAAATCACCCAGGTTCAAGGGCTATGAGACGGCCATGCATCATACCCTCAAGGCGCACTTGAAATGTTGTGGGCCCTTCGGGCCCTTCAGATTCTTTTTTTACTTTGGAGATGTGGCAAAGCAGAAGCCAGGCAGATTCCACGTGTAGATGTGGTATTGCCTCCATTTTGAAGAGGCAGTTTCGAGTTGAAGTTTGGTCCCTTTGCCACCACAAGGAACATTCAAGACCTGGCTTTTGCTTCACTTGCAATATGCGCCACACTTGATGCCGCAGAAACATGACTTTGTGGCTGAAACACTAATCACTAACTAGTTGTTAGCTGTCTGATCGGGAAAATCGATGGGGCAGATCTTCAACGTGTGTGGAGGTGGTTCTTTTTTCAGGTACTCCTTACCAAGGTGGAGGAAAGGGAATGAAGGCATCCTCAGGATTGGCTGACAGCCCGTCAGGATGCCGGCCTCGAGAACCATTCGGAGGTCCAAGCAGTGCCCGTCACGGAGGTGAGAAGAACTGCTGTTCTTCGTAGCGTCCTCTTGCTCCGTTCGTAGCGATGCCAGGAGCCCCTAATAGCTTCTTGTTCCTAGTAGTAAGGCCAGGAGCCCCGTTCGTAGCGTCCTTGCTCCTAGTTTGCCAAAGTGGCTCCACTTTCCGACACTTGGGAGACACTCGTGAGCATTATAGGCTAGCGGCCAACAAAGATTAGTTAAGATATATTAGGATACTATCAACCGCAGCAGACGATCAGCATCGATGGTATGCAGGGCGCTCAGGTCCATAGTAATACGGGCTTAGTTTGGTAGATTCAATTAGCATAGCATCTCTGAGTCACTTTCCACAGACAAAATCTAGTCTAGGAACCAAATTATTAGTGCGAGCGCTTCTGCGTCCTGCCTAGAAGCTAACTTGGCCTAGTAGCTTACCTTGTTACTTCATTCAGTCCGGGGCCGGGCCTCGGGCAAGAAAACCACGTCCTTCACAGACAGTGTATCCTCCACGTCCTTCCGGCAGGTGGCCCTCGCGTCCGCTTCGGCCGACGGCATGGCCGTGAGCTCGGCCGGAACAATTCGCGACCGAAGAAATGGCGGGACCTGGTGGGATTGACTGGTTGAGGTTTACATTTGGGACGCCATCAGCGGGAAGTGTCTCGAAACACTCAGGCTGGAGTGACTGTGTGACAGATGGTGTGTGTTTTTCTTGGAGACATCCAACCAATCCAACGGGTTTTGGTCTTTGGGAGGTCTCCCGTATTTTCACACCCAGATGTCTATCAGATTTCTGAGATCCGAGTGTCGCTGAGTGCGTCTTCTCGATCCGAGCTCGGATGCAGCGTCCACGACGTTGCAGGGGGCATGATTCAAAGGCGGTGCATTGTTGCGTGTTTTCGGCCAGCGGACGGCTGGTCGGCACAAGCAGCTGGGAAGCCCAGCTCAGCATGGATTTGCAAGCAGATAGGGCGCGCATCGATGCATTTGTAGGTCTATGTCTACGCCTTGAAATCCAGTGTTTTCGGCATTCAGTGGTTCCCAGTGGTTCAGCTGCTCTCAGTGATTCGCAGCAATGGCGAGGTACTGAGTGCGCCAAAGTTTGGGAAACGGCCACAGGGCTTTGCAGGATCCCCAGTGGCGCGACGCACCACGGAGACCGACAGAGAAACTCTGAGTTGTCTGAGTGTTCTCTCGCGTCCGTCATGTGACGTGATGTCAGGTGAATGTCACGAAATGTGGACCGTGAAAAGGAAGAACGCGAGACATTTTTCGGCACAGGGTAGCGATATCTAGTAGCAAGAAGCTCGTAACAAGGGCATTACTACTAGTAGCAAGCATGCTACTAGTAGCTCCTGGCTCTACTACTAGGAACAAGAGGACGCTACTAGAAACAAGGGCATTCTACTAGTAGCAAGGACGCTACTAGTAGCTCCTGGCATTGCTACTAGGAACAAGAGGACGCTACTAGTAGCAAGGGCATTACTACTTAATTAGCAAGGACGCTACTAGTAGCTCCTGGCACTGCTACTAGGAACAAGAGGACGCTACTAGTAACAAGGGCATTACTACTTAATTTTAGCAAGGACGCTACTAGTAGCTCCTGGCATTGCTACTAGGAACAAGAGGACGCTACGAGCAACAAGGGCATTACTACTAGTAGCAAGGACGCTACTAGTAGCTCCTGGCATTGCTACTAGGAACAAGAGGACGCTACTAGTAACAAGAGCTAGTTACTAGTAGCAAGGACGCTACTAGTAGCTCCTGGCATTTCTACTAGGAACAGGAGGACGCTACTAGCAACAAGGGCATTACTACTAGTAGCAAGGATGCTACAGCAGCTCCTGGCATTGGTACTAGGAACAAGAAGACGCTACTATATAGTAACAAGGGCATTACTACTACTGTAGTAGCAAGGACGCTACTAGTAGCTCCTGGCACTGCTACTAGGAACAAGAGGACGCTACTAGTAACAAGGGCATCGCTATTAGGAACAGGTGCTCAACATGGGTGGCGAAAGGCGGATTCTGCAAGCATGTGTGTCTCTGTCGCCATGAGGTGTATGCACCTTGGAAGGCCACAAAGATTGGGTTGCTTCCTTGGACTGAGTGTTTCACTCATTTTGACTGCACATTTACATATTATTTCATGCAATGTTTTTGCCAGAGTTGGAGGATATTTGCTGAAAGACCCCCAGGCTTTATTGTAGCTGCATGTGTATATTTGCAAGTTGCATGGGCATGGACAGGAGTGCATTATCATCCACAATGTCCACTACACGTTGAGCTTTGGTTACCAAGAAAGAATGAGATGTGCTCTCATTCTCTACAGCCACTGAACCAGGTCGTTAGCATTTGCTTCAATGCCACCGAGAATCTTGCCATCACCGCCAGCCTGGACTGTAGTGCCAGGACTGGAAGAGCATAATGTTCAGATGTAAAGGAGACACTGTAATAAACAAAATTATCCATACACATACAACAATACGTATATATATATATAGATGCATGCATTTTCATTGTGTGAATTGAATCCCATGTGCGACTGGCGGGTCTAAAAGTTTCTCTCCCTTACTTAATCAAGTATTAGGAGGGCAGAGGGCCTCAGCCCTAGTAGCTTTATTGTTCCTAGTAAGGCCAGGAGCCCCGTTCGTAGCGTCGTCGCCTTCAAAGTCGCTTTCGACGACCCTTGATTCCCGACTCACGTGCACGTGTCTGGAGGCTTTGGGAGGTCAGCTCTGGGAGGCGCATCGGAGTGACGGTCAAAACGAAAGGTTCACTTGACAAAGATCCGAGTCCGGTAGATGCTTCCAAGTTGATGCCACAAAAACCGAGATCACTTGGTTTATATAGATGTCAAGAGATCCGTTGGTGATATGAAACGTCGCATCCAAGTGCTTCCAAGGTGCTTCCAAGTTCTTCCTGGTGGTGTCAGCCGTGAACTTTGACCATCGATCGCCAACTTTTCAAGTTTGTGTTCTGCCGGTTGGTTCGGCCGGGACATGCAGAACTTCGTCCTCAAACTGTGCTGAGGCCCAATCTTTTGGGCCTGTTTTGACCCTGAGCCAGAAAATCAAGAGGTGGCCACGGCCAGCTGGAAGCCCAGGTGGCCCATGCTACTCTGGTTTCTTCACGAGCCATTCTGACTAACCTATCCAGCTAAGGTGCTGATGGCACTGCTACGATCTGGAAGCAGACTGGAGAGGCGCCCCGGATGCCCACTGTCAAGCGTTTGACCCAAGGTGCCCCATATGCCAAGCAGTAAACTGATGTTGGACTTGATATGATGCAAATGAACAACATGGACATGTCAAAACAGAAACAAAGCAGGTGATACTTGGTCGAATGTTTACTTGTTGACAGGTGCAGCAAGTTTTGCAAGGCCATGAAGACAACGTGGTGATGGTCCTTTGGTTGCAACGATGTGGCACACTGGGATAATATATTATATATATATATATTTGTATATATGTAAAGATAACAAAATAGGATATCGGATTGCAGGACACTCGTGTGCATTGAGAATTTCTAGTCCTTATGTTGTTGGTGCCCAATACCGCTTTGCTTGAATGCATGCCAAAGGTCAGCTACTCTGCGAACAGCACGCGACTACTGACTGCATCGCAGGACGCACGTCAGCCAACGTTGTGACAACTTGCTTGAGTGACAGGCCTTGAAACAAGCATCCGTCCCCTGCTCCAAAGGGACTTCACATGTGCTCAACTCCTCAACGCATTGATTTCATTTACTGTACTTTTTCCAGGTTTTTCTCCCGTTTCACCTATGTTAAAAACTGTTTCTCCGACTTTATTCCTTTCCATTTTCAACTGGACCACAGTGGAAGAATAAAACTCCTAGACGTGTAGAAGCAGAAGGTCTAGAGATCTAGACGCACTGGGTTCCAGAGAGAGGTGATGGTGGTAATGGTAGTGGTGGTGATGATGCAGCTGTCTCTGGTTGCACTGTGAGCAGTGTGATATGTGGCATCGCAGTGTGAAAGCTTGAGTGATGAAACGGCTTGCGACAAGTGAAATCAGGGCCTCAGAAGGGATCATCCAGAAAAAAACGCACTTAGAAGCGCGTGAAGAGAGCCCTTTGTAGTTGTTTGCAGTTGAAGTGTTAGCGCTATACTGTTACAGCATTAGACCGTGCTGAAAACCAGAAAGGCATTGTTTTAACACAGGTTAGCAGCGAAAGTCCCTGGAAAACATGTCGGGCACACTTGTCGGACAGTCTTGTAAGACACTGTTGTAAAGCTCTCTTCCGGGACACTTCTGTCGCACAGTCTTCTGAGACACCCTTGTGGGGCACCCTCTTTTGTTAGGACACTCTGGCTTGTGGGGCGCTGTTGTCGGGGCAGTCTTTTCGGACATTCTGGGAAATGCCCTTGTAGGGCACTCTTGTGGGACACTCTGGTAGGATACCCTTGTCGAACACCAACCAGTTTCGCAATCCAAGCCCCTCGAAACAGCAGCAGTGACATTGAGCTGCACCAGATGTCGCTGGCTTACAATTCCCTGCGCCTGCCACGCAACCCGCCTCCCAGCACCTCCGCAAGCACAAAGTACCGCGCCTGCCAAGTGTCTAGCAAGTTTTGTACCACAATGCAATGTTGCTTTGTGCAACAGTTGCGTTTCATCACGTTTCCACACTATTTAACGCGAATCGGACACGTCATCCCTCGCCTCCCTCCCTCCCTTCCAGCTAGCCACCCACCCAGCCACCCATCCACCCAGCCACCCATCCTTCGATCCCATTCACCCATCCTTCCATCCTTCCATCCAAAGACCCCTTCCAACCTCCCAACGGCCATCATTCTTCTCCAAAAGCGACGCGAGTCGCGTCGACAAGTCCACGTCGAGGCGAGCACAGGTCCACGCGAGGCGAGCACAGGTTGGGAGCAATGCACTACAGCACATTGCACTGACCACTACCATGTATTACTACGTGTGTGCGGCGTCGCGTGGGGTGCAAGTCACAGACATGCAGACCACTCGAACGTCTTGAATGAAATTGGTTGAAAGGTGTACAGAGAGAGTTTGGCTCGCCCAGTCAGGACCGGACAGTGAGGATGTGGGAGGTGCGGATCGCTGCTGTTTTTCATGCGCGGAGTTACTTCAGAATGGACCCAGAAGCTTGGAAGCTTAGGGCTTGGGCGAGAATAGCATTTTAGTATATTAGAGTAATTTTGACACTTGCTCTCACTGATTTGCTGTAGTCACCCTTCCAGTGTCCAATTTTGCAAGGTAGCCAGCCTTGCTTGTAGCAGTACCTGAACAGGGTTGGGAGTTTCAAGGCTGTCCAATCTGGATAAAGACACCCGCGCAGGCTTTGTCCGGAATTTGCATGCGGGAATTCCGTGGGCACACGGACACCGTGCAGGTCGGGAACAGTTTTTGTGGACGCAGTGCTGTTTCTTCTTTTGGGCCGGGTGTTGCGAGGTAGACTTCTGTGGGGGCTGCAGGGTGAGTAAAACCATGTACAATTGAAGGAATTGAAGGACCGTGTCCGTTGTCCTGCACCCAGTCCGCCTTCTTCTCGGGCGACAGCCGCTTAATTGTGAGCGGATCGTTGGATCGCAGCTTGGCACAGTGTGGGCCGACTGGCGGGTGACGACTGGTGCGTTTGCAACACGTAGCAATGGCCTCCAAGCTACTAGCAATGGCCTCCAACCTACTGTGTTCCGGCTCAAACAGGTCTTGCTTGAAACTGTTCAGCCCACGCCAACATTATTGGATCATTTTGTTGCTTACCTCGGCAAGGGCAGGTGTAAACCAATTGAATAGTGGTGATGCTTTTGTGATTTTGGGCTGCTTGTGCCATAGCGCAGGCAGTTGGCCAGCCGGTCGTGGAAGGGATTGGCAGAGCTCGTTTCTTTCCACACTAGGGGCTGAAATGTTTGACGCGCTGATGTCAACATGCTGAAGGGTGCCTGTTTTCTTTTTTTTAATCTCTCATGCCCTAGTGCGCCAGCCTATTGGGCAACAGCACCAGCAGTGTTTCCTTCCGAGCAGAATCGTTTCCCAAACGGCTTTGCTGATTTCGTCTCAATTCTTGCACTACGAAACGATCCTGGGAGATGATACCGCTTTGCCCTTCTGGTCTGCCTTTGTCTCCCGAGATGACGCTTTGTCTCCCACCTCCCATGGCGTCTGGATGGGCTGAGATGATTCTGCTTTGTCTCCCATGCACCTGTCTCCCTTCCCCTTCTCCCCACTCGCATCCTGTCACGAGATGATTCCCTGTCTCTCTTGCCTCCTGTCTGTCATGACAAGATGACTTCCCCTTTGTCTCCACTTTGACATACACAAGAAGACATACACTGTACTTATGACTTGTGGCGTGCCACCTCACTTGCATTTGTCTACACAGATTCATCTCCGAAAGTGCAATGGTGTGCTTTTGAAAAGACCAAGTGATACTTTTGGAATTGCCACGTCATGTTTCTGCTTGTGTATGCCATGGCTGTTGAATTCAAACCACCTGAACCAATGCTGTTTGGGGACGCGACACCGATCGGTCCCAGGCACTGCCCGGATCTGGGAGACCAAGACCGGAGACTGCTTGCGGACCTTAGCGGCGTGGAGCTCAGCTGGAGCTCAGCTGGAGCTCACGGTGCAGCATCGGGATTTGTTTGATCAGGACATTGGATGACATTTGTAGTTCCAGAGTCTAGGACATTTGTAGAACAAAGTACCTTTGGAACCACGAATTCATCATCTCAGATTTTTTGGTGGATCGTTTGACGTCCAAGGGCCACTCGGGCTCTGTGCTCTTTGCCATCTTCTCGGCAGATAGCAGCTTTGTCGCCACCTCTGCCAGGCATGCGTCAAAATGGGGCGCCCGTTGATTTTAGTTCATTGATGTAATATGTCCTTATGTTGCATCTCACCTCAGGAATGGTGACGCATCCTCTCATCTCAGGAACTACAATTTGAAACAGACTCCAAAGACAGACGTCCTGAAAAGCACAAAAACTCATGTGAGGGAATCAGTAGCTTTTGTTTGCTTATGTCAGTGGATCATGATCGTGTCCAAAGTATATATATATATATGTGTTTTTTTCTTTCCGCCGCTCCGCCCAGGGACAGCTGCATTCGGACCTGGGACACTAAGACGGGGCGTTTGCAGCGAATCTTCGAAGGCCACCACGGCAAGGCGCGGATCTTCGGGGCGTCATTGGGCTTGGCTTGCGGGGTCAGATATGGGAACGTGGTCGTTTGGGCGACATCTAAGGCTTTTTAAAGAGGGATGAAAGAGGGATGTTGGGGGTGATGATTTTTGACTTCGCACCAGGGCTGTACAAGCAGAGGCATTGCAGAAGTCTTGGCATGACAATATGGATGCTCGATGCGATGGCCAGGTGAACTCGCTGTCGTTTGTCTCCTTCTGACTGAGGGAGGGATGTTGACTCGGCCTGACTGCAAGATTTCGTCTTGGAGAGTTTGGTGTGGATGGTTTTAGTGGCTTTGCTCTCAAAGAGAGCTTGAGCCGATTTTCAATTCTTCATTTCGGGGCTTGACAGATCAGGTGTTTCGAGAATTTGAGCAAGTCATGAAAGTCTGGACCATGGCGAACACACCCAAGCCTCTGGAGCCCCTCCGCATGTTGAAGGCATGACAGGAGAAAAAGCTCTGCCGACTGCTGTGACTGCTCTGACTACTTAAACAATGGTGGTGCTTTTTTGAGCCTCTGAGGATTGGGACATGTCCGGATGGGTTCGGTCAGTGATGTTTGGAATGTCCGGGTGGACTGGTTCAGGCCGCGTATGTGTCTGACGAATCCACAAGATAAGCGAAGACTGGCAAGCCCGTAGGATTATAGGCTTTGCTATGCTCGGTTCACTCAACTTTAAAGTTCTTTCTCAGACAGTTCAGGAGAACCCTACTAGCGATGGCCTCCAACCTGCTAGCGATAGCCTCCAACCTACTAGCGATGGCCTCCAAACCTACTAGCGATGGCCTCCACCCTAGTAGCGATGGCCTCCAACCTACTAGCGATGGCCTCCACCCTAGCAATGGCAGCGATGGCCTCCAACCTACTAGCGATGGCCAGCGATGGCCTCCAACCTACTAGCGATGGCCTCCGACCTAGTAGCGATGGCCTCCGCCCTAGTAGCGATGGCCTCCGCCCTAGGAGCGGTGGCCTCCACCCTAGTAGCGATGGCCTCCACCCTAGTAGCGATGGCCTCCACCCTAGTAGCCATGGCTTCCACCCTAGTAGCGATGGCCTCCAACCTACTAGCGATGGCCTCCACCCTAGTAGCGATGGCCTCCACCCTAGTAGCGATGGCCTCCACCCTAGTAGCCATGGCCTCCAACCTACTAGCGATGGCCTCCACCCTAGTAGCGATGGCCTCCACCCTACTAGCGATGGCCTCCACCCTAGTAGCGATGGCCTCCAACCTGCTAGCGATGGCCTCCAACCTTCTAGCAATGGCCTCCACCCCAGTAGCGATGACCTCCACCCTACTAGCGATGGCCTCCGACCTAGCGATGGCCTCCACCCTACTAGCGATGGCCTCCACCCTAGTAGCTATGGCCTCCACCCTAGTAGCCATGGCTTCCACCCTAGTAGCGATGGCCTCCAACCTACTAGCGATGGCCTTCACCCTAGTAGCCATGGCTTCCACCCTAGCAGCAATGGCCTCCAAACTAGCGATGGCCTCCACCCTAGTAGCGATGGCCTCCACCCTAGTAGCCATGGCTTCCACCCTAGCAGCAATGGCCTCCAACCTACTAGCGATGGCCTCCACCCTACTAGCGATGGCCTCCACCCTAGTAGCGATGGCCTCCAACCTACTAGCGATGGCCTCCACCCTGGTAGCGATGGCCTCCACCCTAGTAGTGATGGCCTCCACCCTAGTAGCGATGGCCTGAAACCTACTAGCGATGGCCTCCACCCTAGTAGCGATGGCCTCCAACCTACTAGCGATGGCCTCCACCCTACTAGCGATGGCCTCCACCCTACTAGCGATGGCCTCCAAACCTACTAGCGATGGCCTCCACCCTAGTAGCGATGGCCTCCACCCTAGTAGCCATGGCCTCCAACCTACTATCGATGGCCTTCAACCTACTAGCGATGGCCTCCAACCTACTAGCGATGGCCTCCACCCTAGTAGTGATGGCCTGTGACCACAAATATAGGCCCTAGAAGATCATGGAATTCTTCGGTGCCAGGCATCGATTGATCTGCAGAGGTGGGTTTTTTCCCCGAGTGAACAGGTGGTCCAGCTGTGATCCTTGTTTCGGTGAACGAACAGGAGACATGTCCTGCAAACGGTTCGTAGGTCCTGCTCAAGCATGCTCCTTCTTGGTTTGCCAACAGTTCCAATGACTCTATGTGGGCACATTGCAGCTAGTCTGTTTCTTGTGCTTATATGGTATATGCGATTAAGTTGGAGTTTGACCTTGGCTTTGTCCATTCAGCCAGGCTATATCGTGGATGGAAGGGACGCGCCGTAGCATACAAGCGCTATTCAGAAGCAATGCAGGAGAACGGGCAATTTGGGGCGCCGTTTCTTATTTTTTTTTCTCTCTCTCTCTCTCTCTCTTTTTCTCTCTCTCTCTCTCTATATCTCTATATGTTCTAGCCATCAAGCAGCATTTAAGTTTAGACAGATTGTTGACCTGGTTTTGTAGTGCAAAATCCATCGTAAGCCAAAGGTTCGGTAACGGCTATTAGATCAATGATGATTCGAACGCTAGGGTATGTATGATATTCTTGACATTGCGATGCTGGAGCCACACTGTGACCATCCTACTTTAAGTGAGGGTCTACACGCATTGCACATTGGCGGACGGTAAAAAGCATTCACACCACAAAAGCAGTGAGTTTATAGCCTATGAATTGGTTAGACAAACAATCCGATGCATACATGTTCAATAAACCCTGTTTTCGATCGACTGCTGCGTTGAAGGTTGTAAGAGTCTAGCAAAAATGCTGTTTTTTTTTCGAAGACCCAAGCAAGTCTGGTGCACGCAGAGCCAAGCGTTTTGGCCAACAGTTGCTTTTGGAATCTGCCAGGTGAAGCTGGAGTATGAATCTGCCACGGCCATTCAGCGCCTGGACGGAAGTTCGGAAGGTCTCTTTGGACAGAGAATCTCTCATTACAAAGTCATGTTGCCCTGTGACCTGTGCCTGTTCAGCCTTAGCAAGCGCTCTAGAAGAAGAGTGTCCCATCCCATGGATAAGGACCCTGTGGTAAATATCCACAACATGATGGCTAGGGCCTACTAGGGATTTGCAATACTCCAACATGACCAGGTCTGCTTTCAGGGCAAGGATGGCACGCAGGCTTTGGTCCCACACTGTCCAAGAACTTGCGAAGATCAAAAGGGTGAAGACAGGTGAAGCAGACAAAATACACACGCAAGTGTAAGAGGTGTAGGTTGGCCTTGTGCTATGCGGTGCTTGCTGAAATGTCGCAGTGGCACCACTTTTTTTGGTACACCAGTGCAATGGGCAACCAGTTCAATCGCTGGCAAGGCAAGTCGACCTCATGCGAGATGAACGCATGAAGGCCCTTGCTCAGATCCAGACTTGATTGATTTCGAGAGCACGAGCTGCGAGTTTTAATCATGAAGTCTGCCAACAACACCAGCCGCTTTGCAGGAGATGGAAGCGGCTGCGACCTACCTGCGAAAGGCACATGGAACACATCCGTGAAGGTTGAGCCCCGCATGGTTGTCCAAAAGCACGCATCCACATGTTTGATGATCCAACAATCAAGTTCAACAAGCTCAGGGTCGGTGATTACACCGTTGCGACATGTCCAAATGTGCCCTGTGCAGATGTGGCTGGGCATGCAGACCAGAAAGCAATTCTTGAAATTGCAAGAAGACTTCCGCAAAGCCGAAGGCTCTTGGGCTGTTGGGGTCTTGCTCGAGCCATCTTGAGCCCTTTTGGCCTTGGTCGAGTGGTCTTGCCTTTTGCGGTTCACGTCGAGTCGAGACATCACAGCAACAGAGGAATGCGGTTCACCTCACCCATGTTTGCATCCCCAAGCAGCAGATGTCACCAGAGGGGACGCGTCGAAGGTGTCGTCACGTGCGTCCTTCGTGGCTCCAGGAAGCATCGTCACGATGCAGAGATACATTAGAGGTGTGAAGCCCCAGAACCGCCGACCGTGGTGAACTCGTGTGGCAAGAGAGTGTCACCACCGTTTTGGTATCAAGTTTCTTGAGCAACTATTTGTGGCAAATGCACCATTCCGTCCCGCATTTGTTTGGGCCAAGCACCCTTTGCCAACAAAAGATGTCGAGTCGCACCGAAAGATCTTAGACAGCTGGAACTCCAGCCGCGGCCTCGCGTGGCCTCGTGCTGTTTCCTAGGCTGCCTTTGCAGAGGTCGCCTCTGGAGACAGGCCGGCAAACTAACTTCACACCACAGACGACGAACAACTTCCCGACCACAACGAACTAGCTTCACACTACAAGGAACCAGTGAATTTGAAGAATGACATTAACATCGACATTGCAAGAACGCCCAGACAGTTTTTGGGATTCAACGGGATGAATACCGTCCCTGCCGCCATCTTCCTTCTTTTGAGGCAGTGGATCATGAGGAGCAGGTCTGGGCAGTTCGGATCTGAGATTCTATTGTTTCATCACCTTTGAGAGAAGTGAAGGATTCTGTCGCATGAATACAGGAAGGAAGCCTGGAAGTGGATTTCCCTGGCTGGCAAGGCCATTGAGATCCAGCGACACTGGCGAGGCTACAAGGGCCGAGTCCGCTGGGAAAGCATGCTGGAGCAGGCTGGGAGAAGGGTGAGGTCCGGAAAGCAGTGTGTCTCCAACCGATTTTCCAATCTCGAACAATTCCAAAACTGTAGGTATGGCGGCGGGAGATGGCTGCCGCCATGCTACAACGCAACTTGAGAGGCCAGGAGAAGGGATTGTGGCAGGAAACTAGGAGCCATCATGGCTGCCAGTGCTCACCTGTTCCTGGCTAAAAAGATGCTCCCCTGAAGAGGCTGGCTTGCTCGAGCGAAGATCGCTCGGCGGAAGCACCTTCGGCCTGGTTTGAGTCTCTGGGCGTTCAGACATTTTGCCAGTCTTGGCTTGTAATTCACAGACTGCTTTGTTCAATTTCGGGATTTGCAACTTTTACTGGGTCTCTGAGACATCGCGCCAGGCGCCAAGACGCGCGCGCAAGCTTTGAAGCAGCGCGGAAGCGCTTTGTGGGAGCGCAACGAATACAGGCGGAACGAATGCGAGCGTGGAACGCTGTGGAGTCCTCCCCCTGTGGAATGCCTGTGGCCCTTGTAGGCGCGTGCGCGTGGCATGCTGGCCCGGAAGGCATGGTGGGATGTGCGTTTCTGGGTGCCCGTGTTTACCCCCATCGCGGTCAAGATCTCGTATCGAAACCAGTGTGCCATTGGGGGAAGCCATC